GAAACTTGACTACTCAGAGATCTCTAGAAATTCTCGCTAAAGTCTGATCTATAACCAATGACTAGTTTTAACAGCCCAGTGGGCTGAGAGTTGGGGAGGTGGTTTCTCGGTGGAAAGCCTGCTTCTTTTTCCAAGCGTGGGAGAGCAGCTGCAAACGCCTTGGCCTACTCCCAGGTGGCATGTTCCCCTGGGCCATGAGCACTCTACGCTGGGGCTTCAAAAGCTCACTCTCGCGGCGAGAAACTCATGCAATCCAGTGTTTCTTCTGTTTATTTGCCCTGATGTCACACCTGGCCGAGCCTCTGGGGTGCGGTGCCTCACCCTGGTTGAAGATCTCGGGCGCTGAGAGGAAAGCGTGTCTTCTTTCCTGTTCTGGCTGGGCTGCCTTCAGACTAGATGGCGTCTGTCCAGGGTGGGGCTGGCTCCACGTGTCTAAGTGTAACAGACAGTCCTTAGACTTGTTGGTACCAGGAACATTTTCTTTTGCTCACAGATTCTGTGGATCAGGATTGAGACAGGGTACAATGGTGTCCACAGCGTCTGGGGTCTTTTCAGGAAAGAGCTAGACAGCAAACTGCCTTCAGACTTATATCAAGAAATTTTATTTCACTCACAGATCCTGTGGGTCAGGATTGAGATAGGGTACAATGGTATCCGTAGCATCTGTGATCTTAGTTGGGAAGAGCTGGACAGCTGGGGGCAGCATCTGAAGGCTTTTCACCCACGTCCTTTGTGTGGTGGGGAGCGCTGGAGGCTGGGCACAGCCAGGACTGGTCGCTGGAATGTGGTCTGCGTGGGTGGCTTGGGCTTCTTCACAGCATGGCGGCCCCAGGGGGCCCAGGGACACAGAGGAGGCTGAANTGGGCTTCTTCACAGCATGGTGGCCCCAGGGGGCCCAGGGACACAGAGGAGGCTGAAGGGCTGTTTATGACCCAGCCTCAGACACCCTTTAGCATCACCTCTGTCACCTCTCTTGGTTAAAGTGGTCACAAGGTTGTCTGGATTCAGGGGAGTGGGCAGAGCTCTACCTCCTGATGACCTCCACCTCCTGAGTGTCAAGGAACAGGCCACTGTACTCGGAGCCCAGAAGTACCTTCTCGTTGCTGCTCACCCACCTGTTGTTTGTTTTTGTTTTAAATCTTCTGCCCTTGCCCTGGAAGCCCTGGCTCCTTGAATTCCAGGCAGGTAGATTCTTCCTCACTCCAACGTGGGAGCATGACAGGCTTGTGTACCTTCTTCTGAATGTAGCCCTTTCTTGTGTGATGAGGGCATCACCTCTCAGGGCATAGGTTGACCTCATGGTTCTCAATCCATGAAACCAGGGCAGGTGAGCTAATGTGGAGTGACATTTCTGAGACTGAGCCCTATTGTTCCTGGCTCTTTAAGGGTCACATACACACACCTCAAGTGTCTGGTACCTATAGGTGTCCCCTCCTTCACCTTTGTATTACATTGTAAGGACCAGGGTGTGTTAGGGGCTTCCCAGGTGGCTTGGTGGTTAAGAATCTGCCTGCCAAAGCAGGAGACACAAGAGACTCGAGAGACATAGGTTCGATCCCTGGGTGGGGAAGATCCCCTGGAGAAGGGAATGGCAACCCACTCCCGTATTCTTGCCTGGGAAATTCCACAGACATAGGAGCCTGGTGGGCTGCAGTCCATGGGGTTGCAGAGAATCGGACATGATGGAGCAACTGAGCATGCACAAAAAACGTGTTAAAAAGAACAGAGAATCTTGAAAATAAAACTCTCTTGGAGAAACACAAGAGGAAGAGAGTCTGACTGTTTTCTGAAAGAGCTTTTTGGGGAAAAAAATCACAGTGCACTTAGCAGACCGAGATGCTATCTCTCCATCAGTATTTCCCCTCCTGGTGTGTCTGTAGGGCCTTCCTCCTGACCTCCCTGCTCCTCCATCTGAAACGTGCATTGAGCAATCAGGCCAGTTAGAAATCCTGAGCCCAGAAATAAAGTGACTGTTGCTTTGGTGTCCCTGCACGTTTGCTCCGGGTCCTGATGGAGCAGAAGGCAGTGTATGGAGGAAGCAGATGGCCGGGTCTACTGTACATTTCAGAATGTTTCAACTGCAAGGCTGGCAGGGGCTGTTGCATCACTTGCCAGCCGGGGCCACAGGACGGAGGCAGGAGCCCCGGGGGCTGACCACTGGGCGGCAGGCTCAGTTGTCCAAAAGCAGGCCTCCCTCGCGGAGAGTGGGGGTGGAGTTTGCAGAGGAGAAGGGGAAAGGGGAAACAGGCTGGGAACGATGCCTAAATTCCTCCCCAGCTCTAACATGGGTGGGTGCACGGGGTACATCCATGGCCGGGAGGTCAGTGAGACCCGGGTTCAAAGCCTGACTCCATTGCCAACTAGCTGTGAGACACTGTGGTGGTGGCTTCCCTTCTCTGAATTTTGGTGTCCTTGGCTATAAATTACCTATCGTTCCTACTTCACTTGGACATGTGAGGATTCATTGCCCTGACCTCATTGTTGAGGTTGTTGTAGGATTCATCAAGTGAGGATGCACAGGCAGATGGCGTGGGCAGCAACTGGGGACACTGCTTAGTGGGTGTGGCATCGAACAGGAGGAGCTGAGAGATCTTCCCAAAGGGCCCATCCATGGAGGTGGTGTGGGTCCACATGAGGACCTGCGTGGACACAGTGTTCTGAACTCGTCATGCTGGACAGCCCCAGTGTCCACCCTGCTTGATCTCTGGAAGGCTGACCGCCATGGACACTAACAGGCTCCCTGCCCTCTGGCCTCCAGCTAAGCTCAGCCCGTGGGGCCCCAGCAGGAGATGGCATGGGTGTCCAGGAAGGAGGGACCACAGCTGTCGTCTGCACTATTAAATCTCCAGCCCACAGTACATGCTCAGAAGACAGTTCCTGAAGGAGCAAACACAGGCTCGCAGGACCTCACACAGAGCTGCACCACCTCCGTGGATGGGCCCTTAGGGAAATCTCTCAGCCCTTCTGTTGGATTTGCACCCACTAAGCAGGGACTCAGCTGAAGGTGCTTCCTAGACCTAAAGTACTGAGTGTCGTGCAGGGTGGGACTCCGCCCTAGGGCTCAGAGGATGGAGACAGAGGGTAACTGCAGGGGGTCAGTGGACCCCTGACAGAGGAGGAGGACATGGTGGCCTGTGGACTGGCACCTGGGCTTGGGCCTGGGCTCAGTGTAGGGGGGAGATGGGGGCCCATCTAAGGGTCTCTGCAGGCAAACCAGGGCCTTTGTGCAGCCGGGGGAGGAATAGAGGACTCCAGATAGCTCTCCTGCCTGGTCCAACCAAGCTGCAAGCTTTACTCAACACGAGCCTGCTTTCTGGAAGTATTGGCCGAGGGTGCAGGATTTGGTCAGCCTGAAACTCAAGGTGATTTTTTCAATTGTCCCTTTCGTTTCCTGATTGTGGAGTGAGGCGGGATCACTTCCCTCCTCTTCAGGCGTGAAGACCTGCTGGCACCAGAGGTCATCGTTGACTGCCCCCATGACCCCTGCCCACAGCCTTGGGGTCCTCGGCCGTGTCTGACCCTCAGTTTCCTCATCTGGCAAATGGGTGCAAAGTTACAGTGATGTGTCTTGTCGAAGGGCCTTGGAGGCTGCATAGCACGTGGGGAGACGTGCCCTCATGGCTGGGCCAGGCCTGCCCAGTGCTGGTCAGCACCCTCTTCTCCCCATGGGGACAGGGGTGGAAGGACAGCACGGTCCTGACTTCCAGGGTAACTGCGTCCCTGCCTTTCTGTACGCTTCTACTCCCAGCACCTCTCAACACCTGCCTCTTTGGGGACACTCCACAAGAGACCTGGAGATTGAACCTCCAGGCCTGGCTTCACCCGCCCAGCACCACGTGGGGAGTGTCGCCTGCTGTCGAGCGCTCATTGCCGAGGTGGCATCGCATCCATGAGTGATGGTGTCATGACTGTTCCCTTCTCCCACTATCGGGGCTCTGGGCTGTTCCCAGTCTGGGGCCATCCTTGGTGGTCCTGCACATAGGTGTGGTACACGCGCCGTCTCAGATTCCTGTGATGTGGGCGTGTGTGGCCGGCTTGGCTGCCTTCCTGCTGGGTCGTGAGGGTTCCCAAAGCTGTGTCCCCACAAACTCTTGGCACTGCCAGTCCGTGTCATGAACAGTCGGGCGGTGCCCTGATGTCTCCGCCTGCTGTCACCTGGCAACTTTCTGAGGCACCTGGCAACTTTCTGAGGCTCCTGGCACTGGGCTGCTCATCGTCTGACTATCGGGCAGCCTCTATGAGGGGCCGTTAATTTGAGCTCTTGCCCATTTTTGTGGGCTGTCTTTTCTCCCGGCTTCTGCATGGGTACCCGCGCCTGTTCTGTGGCCCTGGCAGTGGCTCTGAGTGTCTGGGCTGGGCAGGATGTCAAGGATGCTAAACATCCCCTCAGCCCCTTGCTCACCTTGGTGAGCCCTGGGTAGATACCAACGGGAGGTCTGAAGTCACCAATGATGCAGGTGCCACACGGGGTGTGGAGGGCACCGCCAGGGACACTCGCTCGCTCTAGCCTTTATCCTGGCTCCTCTCCCAGGTCTTCATGGCTCCTGGCGCCCCGGACCCCGGCCCTGGGCCCCTCACCACGGATACCCGTTGTCGTCCCCTAGACCAAGGGGTCCAGTTGGCTCCAAGCTCGGCCTCCCACCATCCCCCATCTGGCTTTAACCGCAGCCCCAATTCGTCTGCTGCCCACGTCACAGGCCCTTGTCTCAGGCGAGGCAGCTGAGTTTCCACAGAAACACATGACTCCTAGACCGGGCCTTGAGTTAGAAAAAAGCAGAGGGGCCTGTCAGGGGGAGCTAGGGAAGGGCGGTGAACAGCGGGGTGGGCACGGGGCATGCGCGCGGGTGATGGGGGCGGGGCTGGCGAGCTGAGGGCGTGGCCTTGAGGCCTCGGGGCGGAGCCTCAGCGCGGTGCCCCCATGCCAGGTTTGTGGGTTAGACAAACTCCCTGGACGGACGACGGGCGCCATCAGAGGCCAACGCCTAGGACGCAGGACGTACCGAGGTTGAGTATGGACCCGGCCCTGACGCCTTCTGACTCCGAGGGTGTGCGAGTCACCGGCTTTTCCGAGCCTCAGAGCCTCACTTGCAGAGTGGATTTGATCATAATCGCCCTTCTCCCAGGGTTGCCGTGGAGATGAGATGATGGGTGCACCCAGGTTCTCAGAGCAGGGCTTTCGGGGACCTGCCTGTCACTACGTTGGGCCGGGCATGCAGGGGCTGGGGTGCGTCCAGGAAGGCCCAAGATGGTGTGGGGCTGCCGGATCAGAGAAGGTACCCAGCTACTGTCCAGCGGTCCACTGAGGGCTCTGGAAGCCCAGCTTGGGCACTAGGACCTCCGGCCAGCCGGGAAACGTCACTGGTTGGCCCCCTCACCCCCACCCCGACACCTCCAGCTGACTGTCTAGGAAAAGGAAACCATGACAGTGGTGTGGACTAGTAGCTAGATGGAGAGATGCCCCTCACCAGGAGGTTCACTTATCCACTCTTGGAGCACAGGGGAGACAGATGGAGGGCTTTGTCCTGGTTATAGTGAACACAGAGGGGTCAGGATGGCGAGTGGGGAGAGGGCATAGCCAAGACCAGAGGTCAGGGCACATGAGCGTGGGGTGTGGGAACCAGCAAGGGTGGGGATGCTGAGCCAGAGGGTGTGAGATGAAGCCGAGTCCATCACCAGGTGACAGGTGTGGGCCTTTCTCCCTGGACTCTGTCCGAAGTCAAGAGCTCAGACGGCACTGTGATGTCAGTGGCTGCACCTCAGTGACCTCTGTCTGCCCCTGTCTCCCGCCTGCTCTGGCTCTAGTCCTGCCCGGCGATTATGAATAAAGCTGCTGCGGCACCTTCACACAGGTGTCTGTGTGGACACCCGCTGTCAGCTCCTCTGGGTGAACACCTAGGAGCACAACTCGGGGATCACACGGTCAAGCCTATGACTGGCTTTGTGAGAAAGTTGCCCACCCGTCTTTCAAAGTGGCTGCATGTTCTGATTCCCACCGGCAACGAGTGGGAGGCCCTGGAGCTGAGTTTGTTCTCTGAACCTCTGATTCCTGTTGATTCAATGAGGTGACACTGGGCAACAGTCACAGATGTGGTCGACAGCTCAGGCTCTGGCAGGAGGGGGTACAGTTCCCGCTCCGCTGCTCACCTCCGCATGAATGTGGACAGGCCTTCACTCTAGGGGGGTGCTGTGGATTACATAGGGCACCTCGGCAACTGGGGGGCGGGGAGGAAGGCCTGCGTGAACATCAGCTACTGCTGGAACTGACGGTGGGTTTCATGGAGGATGCAGCTCTTACCAGGCCTTAGAAAGTTCAAGAGGGAAGGAACCTATGGTAGGCGGGAAGATGACCCAACATGTCCATGTCCTAGGGACTTTCGTGGCCAAAGAGACTTTGCAGATGTGAACACATTACAGACCTCAAGGTGGGGAGATAGTCATGGATTCCCCGGGTGTCCCCCATGTCATCACAAGGGTCCTTACAAAGGGGGAGATGGGAGGGTCAGAGTCAGAGACTAGAAGATGCTACCTTTTGGCTCAGAAGATGGAGCCACGGATAGTGGCACCTCTGGAAGCTGGAGAAGGGAGGGAGACAAGCTCTCCCTGCTGCCTCCAAGAGAAGCCAGCCCAGTGGATACCTTCATTTTAGCCTGATGAGCCCGTGTCAGACTCCTGCCCTCCAGGACTATGAGAGAATGTGTGTGCGTGTGTGTGTGAACTTATTCACTCACCTGTTTGGCTGTGCCAGGTCTTAGTTGTGGCATGTGGGATCTAGTTCCCTGACCAGGGATCGAACCCGCCCCCCTGCATCAGGAGTGCAGAGTTTTAGCCAGTGGACCACCAGGGCAGTCCCAGACGTGTATTCTTTTAAGCTGCTAAGTTTGGGATCTTGTGTTACAGCAGGAGAACAGTGGTTCAGGTCCTTAGTGAGCAGGGGAGAAGCAGAAGCCCAGGAAGTGGGTCTCAGGTGCCCAAGGTTCCACGGTGGGGAGGCGCCACTGAAGGAGCCCTGCTGCCTCTGCTTTGCAGGCCTGCCTTCTCTTCTGTCCCAAGTCCATGGCTCTGACCATATCACATAGGAGCTACGCTGCCCAGAATGGTGGGGACAGGGGGTGAAAACCCCAAGGTTGAAAATAGCTCTGTACCCAGCATGGTTCAGTTTCTGCTGCTCGGCCTGCTGTGAGGTCGACAACTCACAAAGCCACTTCCTCCTGACTCGCTTCTGCCAGCGTCTTCACTGGCATTTCCCCGTGCCCCCTTCCCACTCAGCCCATGTTCTCCGAAAGCCGAGCTCTCAGCCATCCTGGGGTGAGGAGAGGTGGGTCAGCCTCCAGGTGTCTGTCCTTGGAAAAATTCCTGACATGTTTCCAGGCCAGCCTGTGACCAGGGGCTTCTGGTTTAGAGGACAGGTTTTTTTTTGTTTGTTTTTTTCTCTTTTGGTGACTATTATGGTCTTCCTCGTTTTGAGGTTAACAGTGGCTCTTCCTTTCTCTAGTGTGAAATTAAACCATGATGCTGTTACAGTCAAGATGTTTCCATTCAAAACTACTATGAGCACAGCCTTAAGAAATTTCCCTTTACTTCCACTGAGTTACTGGGCTTTGACCTAAAGGTGATTTGTACTTGGAAAATCTGAACATCATCTGACACCTTGTCTCAGGGTGTGTGGGAGGAAAGGAATTATTTTCTAAATGAGACAATTTCTGTTTCATTTCAAGACAGGAATGCTTCAAAAATGCCAAAGGTACTTAAAAAAAAAAAAAAGCCTGTTCTTCCCATAAAGATTCAACCTACAATATCAGAGAAACAACCAAATCAAAAAATGGGCAGACCTGAACAGACATTTCTCCAAAGAGGACACACAGATGGCCAAGAAACATATGAAAAGATGCTCAACACTGCTCATTATTAGAGAAACACCAATCAAACTGCAATGAGATGTCACTTCACATGGGTCAGAACGTCCATCATCAAAAAAATCTACAAACAATAAATACTTGAGAGGATATGGAGAAAAGGGAACCCTTCTGCACTCTTGGTGGGAATGTAAACTGATACAGCCACTATGGACAACAGTATGGAGATTCCTTAAAACACGAGGGATAAATCTACCATATGACCCAGCAATCCCACTACTGGGTATATACTCTGAGAAAACCACAAGACTACAAGACACATGACACCTGTACCCCAGCGTTCACTGCAGCAATATTTACAACAGCCAGGACATGGAATCAACCTAGATGTCCAATGACAGATGAAAATATAAAGAAGATGTGGTACATATATACAATGGGGTACTACTCAGCCATAGAAGGGAACACATTTGAGTCAGTTGTAGTGAAGTGGATGAACCTAGGGCCTGTTACAGAGTGAAGTAAATCAGAAAGAGAAAAACAAGATATTAGCACATGTATATGGAATCTAGAACAATGGTACTGATGAACCTAGTAGAGAATGAACTTGTGGACTCAGTAGGGGAAGGTGAGGGTGGGATGAATTGAGAAAGATGGTACCAGTGAGCCTATTTGCAGGATTGGAATGGAGATGCAAATATAGAGAATGGACTTGTGCACACAGTGCGGGAGGGAGAGAGTGGGACAAATGGAGAAAGTAGCATCAACATATATACACTATCATGTGTAAAACAGATAGATAGTGGGAAGTTGTTATGTAACACAGGGAGCCTAGCCTGGCTCTCTGTGATGACCTAAAGGGGTGGGATGGGATGTGGGAGCACGGAGGCTCAAGAGGGAGGGCCATACACATAAAACAGATTCACATTGTTGTATGGCAGAAGCAGAACATTTTAAAACAATTTTCTACCAATTAAAAAAAAAAA